TCTCTCTCTCTCTCTCTCTCTCTCTCTCTCTCTCTCTGTCTGTCTCTCTCTCTTTCTCCTGGCTGTCGCCCTTCGTTGAGTCCAGTCTTGGCAATGTGAGCATGCTGTTATGGATTTCTCAGTTTTGTGTTCTTTGAAAAATAAACATCGTGGGATAGAGAAAAGAGCCTACATAGAATATTCCAAGTGGGTCCTTTCCTGGTAATTCTATTTCAGGAAGACACAGAGGTCCTCATCGGTTTTGCAATCAATGTATAACACACCATTCTTCTTTTTAATTGGACATATTTTGACTAACATATAATGTATTTATTCGTATAACCTGTTGTAAATAACGATCTGCAAACACAATAGGTAGGTCAAAAAATGCGCTTTTCCCTGAATGAAAATTCCCTGCTGTTGAAGACGGTCAACACAATGCCAGATAATGTGTAGCCTGTCAGTGGGAAGCATGTTTTATTCATTATGTGCTCACATATACGTTGTGATTTTTTCGGGTAGAAAACAAACTTTTTAACGCTTAGACAGTACCCAAAATTCTGGTCTTGGATTGATTTTACGATTTCTAAGTATTGTAAAGTGCTTTTTCTTTCAGCTAATTTTGTGTAAGTCGCGTATCTACTCATAGGTTTTTAAGAGATGGCTTGTGTAGAATACATCGTCTTGCTTTGTGTGGAGTATAACGATAATTAATAGTAGTCGGGTGGGGGGGGGGGTGTTTTACGCGCCTGCAACTGTATACTGCCGTAAGACACCAAAACTAAACAAAGCACACACAGACAAACAGACTGTTACTGGTTATCGTAAAAGTAGTCTGGGAAATGTTTCATCTTCTATGTTGTAATTATCATTTGTTTTACTTACTGCGAGACTCCGAGAATGCCAGGGGTATATCCACAGAAAAGAGGCGGCTGCGAGGGGCCCGACTCGTACAAACAAACTCTGCAAACGGAGTGTGTATTTTGACAAAACTAGCAGGGTTTTTTTTTATGCCCTCGATCCTCTTGTGAATGTGTCCTCGTAGTAATTGTGTGTGTGTACGTTTTTTCGCTGCGAAATTATCTCGTTTGCTTTCGAGCTTTCACCGGCAGGGGTTTACAAACGTTTATAATTTAACCAAAGAACACCCTGCATTACTATTATATGATGCAATGTACCCGACGGTTGATATCTCTATGTTGTTTTTATTTCGTATCACCCTTATCTCTGTCTTGTCTTCTTTACTCTGACCGCACCGGCGTTTGTGGTGTAGAGGTTAGGCGCTTTGTCGTCGCTCTCAGAAGACGTAAGTTCTATTCTTGTGCTGGGAGAATTTTTATCAAGCATCTCGGTCTTTCTGTTGGGATGATGTCCCGTTATCAGTCCGTGTTGGCTTTGACAGGCAGGGTCGAAACTCGCCTGTTAACAGGATCTAAATTCTGTCGATGGAGACGTAAGAATTTTTTAAAAATTCACCTACCCTCCGACCGATCGACAAAGTGCTCGAACTTCGAAATCAGGTGTCAGTGTCTAGCGGGCGGAGCCTGGGGATTATCCCAGAAAACCGAAGTACGGAAAAAGAAAACCCGCCAGCCTCGCTGCGAGCCAAATCGGTGACCGTACCCTGGTTTCTCAGGTGCCTTTCTTGTTTGTTTACTCACTCATGGCCCTGGTTGAGCACTCTTGTTTTGGTTGGGGTTTTTTTTGTTTTTTTTTTGGGGGGGTTGTTTTGTTTTGTTTTTTCGGGGGGGGGGGGGGTAGTCGTTTGTTTTTTCGATGGTTTCATCACCAGCTCAACGAAATCCTGCTGTGTTCTCACTTTCTCACGAATGGAACCTGTTATGAGGGTTCTTGCAACTTGTTCCTGGGCCTACATCGAAAAGTCACGACGGTCTCTGCGATATGTAACTTTTCCCGAAAACTAAAAGAAAAAATACCCCCCCCCCAACCCAAAAAAAAAGAAAAGAAAAAAAATCCAGAGTTTTGGTTGCATCATGATGGGGTAAAAAGTTGTTTTTTTTAAAGGCAGGTGGTGGGGGAAGAGATTTTTCGGAGCATTGTGAGGATGTGTCAGTGAAACCCTCATACTGGGTGATTGGTGGGAGCTCCCCTATCAAACATCTATCTTCCTATCTCTCCTCTTTCTTTTTTGCGTTTGTCACTCGTTTGTAACACCTCTAATCTTCACCACTTACATGACCGTATCGTGTTGAAAATGCCGTAAAACTCTTATCAAATTAAAAATAAAAACCTTCATATAGCCTTCTGGGTTGATCGAAAATGACAGAGTCAACTAGCCAGTTTCCTAATTGATCGATGTAGATTACACCTATAGGGGTGTAAAAACCTTTCCGTCAAGACAGGTGATCCTCTTGGACAGTCATTATGACAACCGGAAAGCGCAGTATGAGAAGTGGGGAGAGGTCGTCTGTACAGGTGATTGTCTTGGATAGGTGGTCACTACAGCAGGTTCCATTGTATTTGCCTGTCCGCCTCTGGAGACGGAAAAGGCCGCTTTTTTCTATATTCTTTTTTTTCTAGGTTATTTATTCATTCTTTTTTTTTGGGGGGGGGGGGGGTGGAGGAGTATCGTTTCAGCCATTAAACAATGTCATCCATAACGTGAAATGGATACGTATAGATTATTACGTTCCTACAAACTGACTTTGGTGTGTTGATAGATATATTATTACATGCCTGTCTACACAATCTTTAAGCTATATCAGAAGCGCCCTCCGCGCCATTTATTATTAAGCCGTTTGGCGATCCATCCATACGAATGGGAGAATTACTCCCGTCTAATGCACGGCGAACGGACTTGTGTTTCAATTTTGTCACGGCCAACATGAGAGATTCATTATGCCGCTGACGTGTAGATCGTTGACGTATGATATGCTGTCCGTTAAGATACGCACATTGCTGCCAACAGGGCACTTTACGTTCTCCGCAAGCTTTCCTTCATGGTCGTCCTGACCTATACCTGTAGATCTATAAATGTCGCCGAGTACGTTTCAGGGTCATTTGCAGATCATGTCTCTATATTTCTATGGCGCGTCCACATCTCAGTTGGTATGTTGTTGGACTGTGGTCCAGGCGCCCAGGATTCGAGTCACCCCGCTAAGCATTCTCGAGCTTGGATTTTTATGAATGTATATCTCTTACCCCACTTGAGTCAGGCGGGTCATTATGTAACCAATCTGTTTGAAAGAGGTGTTAAACAAATACCATCTCCAGTATTTGTCTCTGCCCCCTCTTTCTATTAACTGCCCCTTCCCGGTGCTCTTCTTTAATGGGGACATGAACGTCTTTTCTCTGAAATCCAACTGTAACTACTCTCGCTTTCAATTTGGTGTTTTGTCTTTTCAACAGCAGAAAAAGGCAACTTGTACGCATACCTTTTCCATTTTTTTTTCACCAAGTCTAGTAAACTGGCCAGGTTTTTTGGGTGTATTTTTGTGTATTTTTATGTTTGTTTTGGGGGTTTTTTTTAGGAGGGGGTGTGCTGTGTTGGGCCTTCAAAACACACATTTGTGTTTTGATTAGTCCGACCTAGAGGTATTTATTCTGCACCCAACCTCTTATCTGGAGAAACAGGCATAGACCAGTTTTATCAGGTTCTTCTCTCTCAACTATACCCTTTGCCCTGTGCGCAAAATGACATTTGTTCTATTCCCACATTTGGGGAAGACATTGAATTTTTATCTCGCACCTTTCTCACGGGACCGCTATCCCGCCCAGTCTGATCTGGCACTGACAGGCAGGGTCGAGAAAGCCCCCCCCCCCCCACCCGATTGGTCAAAATTGCGTTGAGTTTGTGGTTGGCGGGTGCTCTGGTGTAGTCTACTCCTTTACTATCAAACAGCTGTCGGCCTAATGTATTCTTCTTTTCTTTGTATCTTACTCTCTAGTAACACCTCTAATTTACACCACTTATATATGACGCATTTGTATTTCATGTGCCATAAAACTCTGATTAAAATAATTTAAAACGGGGGTCGAGAGCGGTGTAAGATATTTACTGTCAGTCACAATTTGTCCTGTCGCATAGCCCAGGCTTGCATCTGCTGCTGCAATGCTATTTGTCAAGGAAACATCTTTGGCTTGCCTTGATCCCCTTGTTTAGTAGTATGCTGTTTTAAAACAAGAAAGACAAAATAGTATATTTCAGGGCTGATTGCTGATATTACAGACTGGTTCACCGGGATCGGTGGTGTAGCAGTTAGCCCTTGACCGTTGCATGCTGAAGACTTGAGTTTGATTCCCGTGGGGGGTCTTTATGAAGCATGTGTATCTCCGTCTTTCTGCTAGTGTGTTGTTTCCCTCCCAGTCTGCGCAGGCCTTGACAGGCAGAGTTGAAGCCTGTCTCTTAAATTATCTAAATTGAGTCAATGGGAGTGTAAAACACCTACATAAAAAAAAACCCTGTTGGTGGCTGGCGGGTGCTCTGGTGTGGTTTGCTCTTTCTTTCCTATCAAACATCTATTATCCTGATCTCTCCTCCTTTTTTGTGTTTGTTACTCTCTTGTAACATCTCTAATCTTCAGTACTTATATGACCTTATTGTGCTTCAACTAAACTAAAAACCGCCTAAAACATACAGTTTAAAAAAAATATTTTTTCTTTTCTGCTTCCAGTGCCAGGACCCCCCAGGGGAAATGGCCGTGTTCATCGCGTCGGATGCCAACACACGGAAAGCTTTGGACGCAGAAGAGGATGATGACGAGGAGGAGGTCAGGGATCAATGGACCAGGGGCTTGGACTTTGTCTTGTCTCTGATTGGCTACGCTGTCGGAGTGAGCAACCTCTGGAGATTTCCTTACTTGACCCTGCGTAATGGTGGAGGTGAGTACAGTGCTGGTCGGCTGCTGAAATGTACTTGAAGTTTCTTGCTGTTTCTAATTACTGTTTGTCTGGTGCCAGTCCATTTGACGGTCAAATGTACTGATGGATGGGCCATTAGCTGAATTGTCATCATGTTGGGCCATAGTGTAGATGATCATAGTTTGAATTCCAATGAGATGTTCTTGAACTGGGGCTGTTTGGAAAGTTTTCATGGCTCTTTACCCAATGAGCTCTGTCTTATTGGAAATGGATGAGAAATTTGGAGGTCCCGCTTTTTAAGTAACCCTACCATATGAAAAAGGTGTTACACCCATATAAGTAATATGTACAACTGTGCTGATAGAGTTGCTCTTATTTCTTCCTTACTGTATGCATGTCTGTGTCCACAGGAGCTTTCCTGATCCCATTCTTTTTCTTCATGACCCTGGCTGGTATCCCATTGTTCTACCTGGAGGTTTGCCTGGGCCAGTTCTCCGGAATTAGCTCCATGTTCGTCTGGAGGATGTGTCCTCTCTTCAAAGGTGAGTCAGATCTGTTAAAGATTGCTCTGTGATTTTGATTTGATTTTTTGAAACATGAAGAAAAAGCTTTGCTGCTTTGGGGCATTCCTTTCAACAACATAAGTCTTCTGAAGTATGTTTTGTTTTCTGTGTTTATGTCTTAACTGTATGCTAAATCTAATGTGTTTTACTTTGCGAGTGCTTATTTTTATGGCTATTTCTGTTTATTTATATGTGTTATGCCAAGGGTCTTATGTAGCTTTTTGGGGTAATTTATTTAATGGAAAAAAAGGGGAGGGGGCCAAAGCCCGTGTTCCCTTGATAGAACAAAGGGTTTTTAATTGTAAACCTCTAGAATAGAAACCTCAGAGTAATGGCTACGTAGGACAGACTTAAATTGTAACATATTATCGTATGACTATGAGGCTAAAGTTGATATTTCATATTTCATCTGCTCACAAATTTTTTCTTACATTGTCGTCAGGAGTTGGCTACGGTATGGTGATCGTCTCTGGTATGGCCTGCATCTACTACAACGCTGTCCTGTCTTGGGTCATCTATTACCTGGTGAATTCGTTCTACTCAGAACTACCTTGGGCACATTGTGGGAACTGGTGGAACACGCCCACCTGCGTAGACAGCTCAGGCGCCAACTCCTCTCTGTCATCAGGAGACAACAACACATTCTTCAATGACAATACTTCGCTTCCTCTACTCAACGGCATACTGGACTTTCACTCCCTGAACTCGAGCTCTTTTAGCAACGACAGCCTGTATCACTTGTGGAATTCAAATTTTTCAGTGCCATTCAACGAATCAGGGCTCAACGCGAGCTTTTTGTGTAATTGGAATTCCTCTTTTTGTGAGAATACTGAAGACAAGGTTAAGACAGCAGCTGAGGAATTCTGGCAGTAAGTTTGTTTGTATATGTGAGGCATCGTGGTGAAATTAAATGCTCATCACAATAATGAAATTTAGGAAACTGCCATGTTTCCCGCTGGTTTGGAAATCTTTATCAAATTTTTATATTTTGGCTTAACATCATTTTTTTTTGGTCCTTTTAAAAGCACATTCTGTGTGGATTTTGCAGAAAAACATTTATTAAAGATACAACAAATGTAAATTTTCTATTTCTCAGGACTCTCAAACTATAGGTCTCCAAATTTTGGGGACTGTTTTCTCGCTAATTTTACCTCTGATACCAAGCTATTCCTGCCTCCTTCAGTCACAGATATCTCGACTTCTTTTCAAGATAGACGGGTTGTTTTTTTTTCATTGAACGCAAGACAAATGAACAAGCTTAAAAATGATACCAATAACTCCATATATGCCTAAAAACGAACAAGCTCCTGATTCCACCACACTGTTAAACATATTGAAGTGAGTTACTAGAGGACAACAAATTGTTTCATATCAAAATGAAATTGTTTCATAAAGGTTACAAAATTTGATGTTGATGAGTGAGCTAGTCAGCTTGATCATATTTAGCATAATCAAGATGTTGTCTCAAGTTTTCTTGTCTCCATTGAAATAATTTTTCTGTTTTTAGTGAAAAAAATGTATGCAGTGCTATTCCACACTTTCACTCACTCACTTATTCATTCACTCACTCACTCACTCACTCACTCACTCACTCACTCTCTCACTCACTCACTCACTCACTCACTCACTCACTCACTCACTCACTCACTCTCTTTCTCTCTCTCTCTCTCTCTCTCTCTCTCTCTCTCTCTCTCTCTCTCTCTCTCACTCACTCACTGTACAGCATAGTTCCACACATTAATGTAGATTTTTGTACCTTTGCACCTATCTGTAGCTCAAATGAGTAAAGCATCCATCGGGAAATAATCGAACTTAACCAACTCCTGTTCGCTCTCAACCACCTTTTTCAACCTGCTACAACACATTTTCAGGTACAACGTGCTGCGCAAGACAGAAGGCCTTGAAGATTTAGGAGGTCTGCAGATGCACAACGCCATCTGTCTCCTTGTGGCATGGGTGCTGGTATGTCTGTGTCTCATCAAAGGAGTGAAATCACTGGGAAAGGTTTGTAATTTTAAGAAAAATTAACGTAGATGATTTATACCCCAAGCAACACAGTTAGGTAATTTATGAAGTGGGCTTTGACCCTGCCTGTCTAGGCCAACCTGGGCTTAGTGGGATACGACATTTCAGCAGATACTTTATAGAAATTTTCCCCCCACTCAGGAATCGAACTCAAGTCTTCTGTTTGTAACTGCGAAATGCCAAACTGCTACACCACGAACAGAAACGTTTGTGACTGAAATGGTTTACCATTCTTTTTCTTCACTGTGTGCATGGCAAGCAGGAGCATTTTTCAAGGTCTGTTGCATTGAAAGAATTTAATTTTTCTGTGGTTATGCCCAAATGTAAAAACAGGTTTCTTTGTCAATCTTTTGGAAATGTGTCCAGAAAGAGATACTCATCAAGGGATTACTTCTCATTTAGTCAATTGCTTTATGTCATGATAAGGGTCAAGACATTAACGTAAAGGGAAGTATAGCAGCGTAACTAATTCCCTACTTATGTCAACTCTTTTACTCTACTTGTAAAGCGCATAGAGCTTGCTTTTGAGCACGGATATGTGCTATTCAGATGCAGTTTCTTTATTATTTATTATTTATCATCACTTTGTGTTAGTGTACTGAAGGAAGCTATGTTTCCTTTCCTAACTACATGTTGCCATGCTTTTCTTTTATATGTGTTGACATGGCCTGTGATAGATAGTTGTCTGTAGTGTAATAGTTAGGCTTTTTTTTGTAGAGTGCACGGAGGGTGTGAGTTCGATTTCCTGCTTAGGAAGACTGAAGACAGTACCTGTCTGTCAATCTTTCTGTCTGTTTGCTGTTTTTCTGTTTGTCTGTCTATTTGTCTATGTCTCTCTATGTCTATCTGTCTGTCAATCTGTTTGTCTGTCTGTCTGTCTATGTCTCTATTTGTCTCTCTCTCTCTCTCTCTCTCTCTCTCTCTCTCTCTCTCTCTCTCTCTCTCTCTCTCTCTCTCTCTCTCTCTTTTTTTTTCTTCTTTCTCTCTTTCTCTCTCTCTCTCTCTCTGGTGGCATCGGTAGTCTAGTGATTAGGCTACCGGACTCGTAATCATGAGGTTGCGGATTCGGGGTTCGGGGGTTTGAGCCGTGGGCCCAATGTTGGGTCCTCGGAAAAGGCACTTTACACAAATTTTCCCCACTTCACCCAGATGAAAATGGGTACTCAGCTATAGACAGTGAAAGATCTTGTGAATTTGTAAGTGTTTGAGTGCTTAACCAGCTGCTTGCACTGTATTCTTCCCAGGAAGCTGAGAATGTTTCTGAGTGTTCTATGGTCTGCTGGGGTAATAATATGGTGTAAAGCGCATAGAGCTTGCTTTCGAGTGGGGATATGCGCAATATAAATGCCATATATTATTATTATATTCTCTCTCTCTCTCTCTCTCTCTCTCTCTCTCTCTCTCTCTCTTTCTCTCTCTCTCTATCTCTCTGTCTGTCTGTCTGTCTCACTCTGTGTAAGTTTCCGTTTCTCCCAAACTGCACTATAGAAATCCACTCTCTCCCTCCCCAGGTTGTTTACGTGACTGCTCTTCTCCCATATGCTCTCCTCACCATCTTCCTCATCCGTGGCTGCATGCTGCCAGGAGCTGTGGACGGGATCATATTTTACGTGAAGCCTGACTTTGAGAAACTGAAAAGTTTTACGGTAAGGTCTTTTTATGTATGGCTGGTCTGTGTCTACTTTAGAATAGTTGATGTCATCCCTTCTGTTGCCCTTCTGTATGAATTTTTTTCTCCCCATGAATGAGTTTTCTCTTTTTTTTCAGGTTTTAATTAAACTTAGAACTTTGTATTGTAGTATAATGTTGCATTGGTTTAACATTCCTACTAATGTGTCCAACATGACTTTTACAAGTGAGTGAGGAGCCTTGAAAGCTCTGCAGATAGCCCTATTTGAAATATATCAATTTGGGGATTTGAGGCAGGGTCATATGCATTATTGTCCAGCTTGATATTTAGTGACGTTTCTGCCTGAGTATAGCATAATGTGAATACATATTGGGGCTTGGGGCTTAAAATAGACGATATTGTTATGTTCACCAATGTATTCTAAAGCATGTGCCATCCCACACATAGTGATAATGGTGGAAAAAATGTTCCTACTCAGGTATGTTTGTCTAGGTTGTACCCGTATAAGCTCGAATACTGTGGACTTCACTGGTGTTGAACTCGGTTAAGTTTATCTTCGGTTAAGTTGAACTTTTTCTCAGGTACCAGCACCTTTTCTTCTTTACAGGTCCCAACGGTCAAGTTGAACTTCGGATGAGCTGATCTTTTTTTTCTTTTCCTGGACGACATCAACTCAACAGTAGTCGACTGTATGTCCTCTCTTTGGTTTTGTTTCCATCATATGAGAATGGTGAATGCCGCACCAGCTTCACATTCTCATAGTAGTAATCTCTTATCAGATGGAAAAGACATTGCATACTTCATGTGTCATTTTTCAACTCCTCCTGAACCTCACGTACTTTTCTCTCCAGGTGTGGATTGAAGCATGTGTCCAGGTGTTTTACTCACTGGGACCTGCCTGGGGTGGTCTCATCACTATGGCCAGCTTCAACAAATTCCATAACAACTGCCTCAGGTATTGTACCACAGTTAGAAAGAAATACAATTTTATTGGTATGTGTAAGGAATTTTTGGTTTAGGAGATTCACAAGATAAGATTACAATCATAAGCAACAGAATAAAGCATTTTACTGCTGTCTTTATTATTTTGTAACTAAAGACTTTTGGCCTTTCACTCTGTTGTTATGGTAAAGCTCTTTGCTAGTTTTGTGCAATGTTTTTGCTTCTAATTTTAAAAAATCATTTTAAACTGTTCCAGATCACCATCTCTTATGACAAAAAATGCTTGAGTGATGCTTTTGTCTGATTTAAAAAAAAAAAATTTTTTTTTTTGGGGGGGGGGGGGGGGGGGGGGGCTGTCTTTGACATTTTAACTGTGGTCTTGTAGTTTATTTTGCTGAAGTTTGCAGAATGAAGAATAAAGGGATATCAGTTAGATAAATATAAGGTTGTTATATGTAGTTCTGTTTTTTTTGCTCTAAGTTACTATTTCTTACTTTCCTCATTTCCAGGGATGTGATGATAGCGTCTCTTGCAGATGGTCTGACCAGCTTTTATGGAGGTTTTGTCATCTTCGCTGTGGTGGGCTTTATGGCTAAGGAGGCAAATGTAACTGTGACAGAAGTGGCTACACAAGGTACGTTATCTTTTCTATACTTCCAAAAAACAAGTCTTTTTCTTTTGTGTCCTTCAATTCAATGTTGTAATGTAAAATGTTCTTGAAAACCTTCTGAAGTTTGTCTTTGCCAGATTGCAGGATATTTCCAGTGCCTTGTTTAGATGGCTGAAGATGTTTGTTTATGCTTGTTTTGTAGCCTTGCAAAGGAATCTGTTAGAAGATGTATTGTATGTTTGTAAGATATCAGCAGTAGTAAATAGCATTCAGACTTGATTTTGCTCTTTCTGTATCTGTGCACACTTTGTGCATGAAATGTCGGACTCAATGATGAGATTTATCTACAAAGCAAAATGCTGAAAAAAAAATTTTCTAACAGAATTAGAAAACATAATAGTCTATAGACAAAAAATGATGAAATATAACCAAAGGTTGTCTTATGTTAACGAAATGTTTTATAGTCATAACACTCAATAGGTTATATTTTCTTTTAAGATCTGAAAGTTTTAGAAAAATCTGAAGTATTGTTTGTATTTGCTTGGTTTGTTTAAAATGAAAAGAAGAGGAGTATTTCTGAAAGCTAAGATATATGTCCTGTGTGCTGGGGTGTGAATATTGATGCAGTGCTTAAGGATAACTTTGTGGAGGTTCATGTTTACTTATCCGTTGCAAACTCTGTGATGACAATATCCTGTTTCTGAAAGAGGTCAGTCTTTTATTGAAAGCCTCCGTCATTTCATAGAAATAAAAAACACCGGTAATGTTATAGCTAGCACAACAATAAGCAGTCTTCGAGAACTTGTCGAAAGACGAATGACGTTTCAGGATGGTGTTTTTTTCCTGAAGAAGATTGGACATCATCGAACAGGAAAGTGATTTCTTTACTACAGAACTAGCCTATTCTATACTGTTTAAACTGTCCGAGACAGCTACCTATTGTTGATGAGAAAAGTGTTTCCTTACACAGGTGGACAGCTTAAACAGTGCCATTGTATTATAGGATAAAATGCAAGATGGGAAGTGGGTGTCTGTATAGGTGGTTGTTTTGGACATGTACCCATTAGAGCAGGTTTGACTGCATTTTCTGTATACTTTCCCCCCAGGTCCTGGCCTGGCTCTGGTGGCATATCCTGAGGCAATCTCCAAGCTTCCCATTCCACAGCTGTGGGCTGTTATGTTTTTCTTTATGTTGCTTCTCCTGGGATTAGACAGTCAGGTTAGTCTGTGTACACGTAGCTTATCTTGGATTCATATGATGTAGGTGGGTTTTTTTATTTCATGAATAATCAGTTAACCCAGAGGACAGTACAAGGATTTATTATTAATCACTGCTATTGTCAGATTTCTATAACATATTCAAATTTTATGGGCTTTTTAAAAAGTTAATGGTCAGATAAAAAGAGATAAAACCGGTTATTAATATGTTAGTGCCTCTTATATAAACACTACTTAATACTTCTCTCTGATGGTCATGATGTCAGAGTGACAATTAAAGGTTGAATCGTGGTACTATGTACTAATTTCCTCAAAAATTTCATCTGATTCTCTATGTTATAGTTTTATTACTTCAAATGCTATAGTTCTGATGTATATTTTTCTCTCCAGTTTGGCATGTTCGAGACTGTTATATGTGGCTTGATCGATGCTTTCCCCAAGCAACTGCGCAAGAAACGAATCATGCTGACTTTTGGCCTGGCACTGATCAGCTACTGTGTGTCATTACCCATAGCCACAAGGGTTAGTGGGGATAGTTTATTTAACAAAGCGTCATCGTTGTATTTTTGCCTTTTTGTGCAATTTTTGGAGGGTTTTGTTTCGGCCGTAGGGTACTTTTCATATCAGAACACCTTTTTTATAAAACTTTTTTACGTGCAATGGTTTGGTACGAGTTTTGAAAAACTTAAGTACAGTTATACAGTTAAGGGATCTTTTTTCTTTTCCTTTTCACAAATTTGAAAAAAATCTGCTCCGTTCCTTCATTAACCCCCCCCCCCACACACACACACACATTCACAGTCACACACACAGTCACAACCATACACACGCACACACACACACACACACACACACACTCACACACACACATGCAGGCACTGCCTTTCCAATTTATGTCTATTTAGCCCTTTTGTTGGTTTACTCCACGTAATGATCACTGTACTTATTTACTTATTTCAGTGCCCCATGGGCAAAAATGAATTAAATAGATGTCTAGTTTAGAAAGTTACATACTTATTTCTGTCACTTTTGATTAACTCATTCGCTACGTATCATTTTCGGTTTGTGGGCGAATTTTTTTCAGAAAGGCGAAATGAGATGATGACTAGTGCGCTGTTCAAAGGTCTTTGGGGCCACAAATTCAAATAAATATTAACATATTATGCACCGAAATTTTCAGTATGATTTGTAGAATACCTCTGTAATGTGTATTTTTCAACTTCTGTAAGAGGCGATTATGCAACACAATTTTGCTTGGAAGTGGATTCAATTTGAAAATAAAAAATTATTCATCTTTGCTGAAACTCAAAAAATAAGTTTGCACATAGTCAAATGATGCATCAAAATAACCATAAATGAATATAGAACTGGAAAATATTGAAAAATTTGCAGTTATTTATATACATTCCATAAAATTTGCACCTTTGGAGTATTCTTTTATGTTCTTTTGTTCGCAATTGTAGAGCAACAAGTTTTTAAGTTTTAAGATGCTCTTGAATACCTTCATCGTTGCATTCTTGCATATATGAACAAAAAACAAGTTTAAGTGTAAGCAGAATAAAGCTGCACAGCTACTCTTAACGGCCACTTCCATATGACAATCACCTGTACAAACAGCCTCTTCCCATTTTCTCCTTTTCATATCGCTATATATTGTGATGACTCTACTTTTCCCCTTGACATTGGG